TTCACGAGGGGCCGTTCGCTCTAAAAATGAAAGAATTTGGATAGAATTTAGTTGGGGCTCAATAAAGACATACTTATTCGAATCCTGCTGAACATGCTATCTAAGATGTAGAATTTGGAATTCTTTGCCAAAGTTGCCCAAAAAACAATTGGACCAGTCCGTTTTTGTTTACTAATTACTCCCAAACAGAAACACGGAAATGCACTCCCGGAGACATCCGCAGACCCCTTCCCAGAGACTGCTAGCCCCTTTCCGTTTTTTTGAAGCCTGTTGGCAGACCAAAAAAAACCGAGAAGCAAATCTCTTTGCAGTTTTCCGTGTCTTGATTCTAGGGCCATTTTCTGAGATACTTTGGGGAATCCCCCAGAAAACATGGCAAAGTAGTCACCTGGGTAATGTTGTCCGCTGATCAATGCACCACTTTTTAAGCGGGTCCTGGAAAAAAGGAATCCCCACTCAAAAGAAGGGGACCCCTCGTTAACAGTGGGGTGAATGAATCAACGGGTCAACATGACATCACAGATTTCAGGTCATTTCCCGCCAGTATCGCCTTTTAGGGACTTCCGATGAAATTGAGCCTTGGTGGGATGCTTGGAAATATGAACTGCATGCAGAATCTGGGGTCCCAGCGTTTACAAATGGGCCAGCGTAAATATGCAAAAAAGAAAGACAACATTTCCTCAAGGCAAATAAGTGGGGGCAACGCAAGCAGTGCTTCCTCAAAAAGCCGGCTGGGCCCGAGCTTCTGAACCAAACTTTGGTTCAGACGAGTCCAAGTGCCATTGGGGACTCAGGGGTGTGCTTTTTTGTTCTTCTCCCACGTGTTGTGCACAGTTGGGGGCGTCTGAGATATCTAAGATCCCTTTTTGAAGTGCTAAATTAGTGGGGATGGGAATCCAACATGGCCACGGAGACCCCACCAAAACGAGCTCTTGTCGCAGGGTTAAGGAGTCAGTTGACGGGTCACGTGTTTTTGAGGCGAAACCATTCTCCCATGTCTCACCTTGCGGCCGCCGTGTTGGATCCTTTCCGACCAGTTTAGTGGTAGAAAGGTCAGCCTGTTTTTGGCCAAACCACTCAACAAGTCTTCATTTGCGTCTCTCTCCAAAAAAAACACATAGAGGAAGCTCGATCTTCTCTTAAAACCTCGCGGGGTTCACCGGATCCCCGAATATTCCCATTCCCAAAAGCGAGGCAGTGGTTGGGCCCCACCTTCATCGGCGCCTACATCGCAGCCTGGCGCTTTTCGCGTCTGTCCTTGTTTGAGGATACCCTGAACCAGTAACTCAGTACCCTGCAACAACTGCTTGTTCCCATGTCCAAAATCCCAAGTGCTGTCCAAAATGCGGTGGTTGGGGGGGGGGGTGCTGGAACATGAGAGTATTCTCCGAAAGGAAACTAACCACTGGGGTCGATTGGACATGCTTAAAGGGAAACCCGCACGAGTTTGTCTATAATCGGACACAAGACCTCCCAAGCGCTTCCTGGTTTCCTTACAAACGAACCCGAGAAAAAGTCTAGGGGTCGCTACCATTTTGTCGGATCTTTGCTGGAATCCCTTTTCAAATGTTACCCAGTGCATTTTCAATTGCCAATGTTTGGTGCGTGGAGAGCCACGTGAAACTAGACAGAATCCCTCGCAAGCACTGGGTAACATTTTAAGGCTCACTCTTGACCCAACATCTGCAACAGCTGAGGTTTGCCGGGTCCAACCAAGTGACACTGACCCAAACAGCAGGGGAAGTTTTCACCGGGAGCTTTCCACGGTGCAAAAAATACAGAAGCAACAACAATTAATGGGGTCTCTCCCCCTCCCCCCCCCTCTCCCCCGACACCCTGGGGCTCGCTCGACGTCTCCACGTCTCCGTCCCGCGCGTCCGAAGCCTCGCCTGACGGGCGCCAAGCGCTTCGAGCGCTTCGCGAGGCCCTCTTTGCGGAGAGCGTCCTGGAGGGCACCACCTCCATGGGGGTCTTCCTCGCCATCATCTCCGTGATCAGCGCCTGGGACCGCTAGCCGGGCCGTTTTGGACGCTTGGTCCCGGCTGGGAGGTTTTCAGGAGGAGAAACCCGGAAGCGGGAGGAGGGGCAAGATCGGCTGGGGTGGTGTGTTGGGTTTCCTGCAAGAAGGGGTACTGGGGTGTGACATGGTGCTGGTTGCATGGGGGAGGTGTGGTTCAACAGATTGCGGCGTGGACAATTGGGTTGTTGGGTCTCCCGAAAAACGCCTTGAAGACATGTCGACCCCGAATCAAACCGAAAGGTGGACTAATTTGGTGGTGTTTAGTGAAGGATTCATTTTAAAGACATGATTCTGGTTCCCAGGAAACTAACCGGGGCCGCAAGGGATGCCCAGAAAATTACAAGTTGGCAACGTTGGATGGTTCAGTTCGGGGTCATTCCTTGGTTCTCAGAAAACACGTTGCCAGACTTAAATCACCTTTTTGTTCGCTTGTTTGTTAGTTGCTTTCCATGATTTTCCCTTGCCATGATTTCCAACAGGGGAGGGTTTCCCTTCAAAATCAACGAACAAACCTAGGGTGCCATTTGATTCCCATGGAAACTGGGGTAGCCCGTCTGTTTTCCGGGGGACCCATCAAATTGTGTTTTTTCCTTTGAAACCACCAGACAAAGTGGCACCAACTCCAAAAAAAGACAGACCCACTGGACTTCTGAACTTACCTCGTCACCGGAAGGTGACATGACCAATGACTTCGAGGGCATCTTCATCGAGCTCATGAGCAGCTCGGCAGCTGAACCCCCTCCCCCCCATGTCGCTTTTGGATGTTGGGGACCCCAGCCAAAAGGTCGCATTGCCGGAACATCTCCCAGATCTCGATGTCCCAGCGCAGATATCCATAGGTCATCGTACCCGGTTGTTACTACTTTCCTTTGAGGGTACCCCCGTTTTAGTGGTTTTGAGGGGAACACCCAAAGGCACACCACCATTTCTAGTGGGTCCAACCACGAAAAAGACGAGCCCATGCGTTGATCTGAGGCATCAACACGCGCATTGACTCGCTGAAGGCCTGCCTCCGACGGCCTCGGGACCAGCCGCCACGGTGGTTTTCCCACGTCCCGTGGTTGTCGCAAACTAGACGCAAGCATTGGCTGATGAACCACATGTTTCTGGTTATTTGTCCCGTTTTTGAGAGATAGTTTGAGGGTCCACGAAGACCCAACGATGTTTGTTAGCCCACGCCTTGCTTTTGGTTTCCCTTTGAAGCCACTCCCAAAAGGATCAAAAGGGTACACTCACTCCCAGTCGTGACTTTCCCACACATGATTTTCTGTCATGAGAGACAGCGTGGGGCTAATGCATCAGACATGGGCCTGGGTTCACATGGCAGTGAAGCCGCGGCGGACATTCGTTGCATACCTCGTTACATACCCCGATGCGTACCCATACTTTGAGTGATTCCTCATTCCCAAGATTGAGTATATTTTTGCAGAGCATTCTTTTGCTGGACATACTTGTGAGTCGACTAGCAGAGAGCTTACCAAGAGAAGTTGGTAGCAGGGAAGGAGGCGGACCTTACCCAACAGCCCGGGCCCACCTCTCACCCGGCTGATTTGCAACTTTGGAGCCTGGGAGCCTCGGAAGGTGCGCTTCGTGTACTGCGCTTGTTACTGAGCTTCGACTTCGCAGCAGACGTGTCCATCACTGTTTTCCAGCTTGCAGACGTGACCTCCGCGTCACTACCTCTGCAGCAAGACTCACGCCTTGTCACGCGCCACATACTCATGAGCCACGTCTTCAAAATCGATTCGGGAAAGTGAGGGTTAATGTATCTTGCTGTTGCTGGTTCTCAGGGTGGTAGGGATGGGATCCCCTTAGGGTTTCCTCAAGGTTTCTCCGACCCTGAAACATGGGCGGTTTCTGAATCGAACGATGAAGGGAATGGGAGTCTGGTGGTTTGAGGCTACCCGTTTTCATGGTGACTCCCATTGCATATCTTTGGCAGGTCCTTCAATATACTCTTTTTGGGGATGGCCAAAAACCAAGCAAACATGTTTTTTTCTTTTGAGGCCCTTTTCAATCACATGCCTGGTTTTAAGGCCAAGTGAAGCTGAACTTTCTTTTGAGTTGTTGTTTTGTTTTGCGGTTTTTCGACACATACAACCGCATTTCCACCCGAGAACCAGCAGAAGCGGAGCGATTTTTGCGCGCTGAGCCGCGCAGGTCCTCACGCACTTCTTCAACATGGAGTCCGAGCTGCCGGTCCGGAGCTCAAGCGATGCGGAGTCACTGAGCCATCAGAGCTTCCAGAAGGGGAAGCGCAAACCACCACTAGGTCCCCCAGCTAGGTGCCAATTTACCCTTTTTTGGGGGAGGGTTCCCATGCTAAAAGAGACTTCAGAAAAAAAAAGGCGGCACCCTTATTCTAACCTCTCTACTGGAGGACCTAGACCAAGGGTATAAATGTATAGATGAATAGATATTATACGTATATATATATAGTATTCGATATGCGCATATTAGGGTTCCCTTGTTGGATGGTTTCAAAGAGAACGCAGGCCGCCAGCCATGATTTGGATCTGTTGGATCGATGAAAGGAGGTGCATGTTACCTCTTTTTGTTTCTGTTCTTCTTTTTTTGGGGGGGTGATTTGGTGTTTGTTTTGTTTGTGTGTGTTTTGTCCTAGGGCTGTTTTTTTTTTTTGTAGGGCTGGTCCCCTGGTTTGGTTGGTTGGTTTGGTTGGTTGGTTGGTTGTTTGGTTGGTTGTACCGGGGGGGTGCAGTGGGGCGTGTCCTTTTTTTTTCTTCTTCTCTTTATCACACCCCTTTTTGGTGTCGTCAGCTCCACAGGAACACCGAAGCCAAACCGCAACCCACCGCCCCATGGCTTCGGCTCCGCCGCGCCCAGATCTTGCGGGAGCTGAACCTCCGGAACCGGGCGCGCACCAAGGAGGACGCGGACGGTCCAAGAAACGGCCGCCATGTCTCACGTGCCAACCAGAGTGAGCCGACCTGACATGACTGTGGACCTTCCCGGCTGCCCCTTGTGGATTCCGGCCCCCTGTTTCTTTTTTTCTTCTTCTTTTTGCTCTGCTTCTTTTTTTGTGGGAAAGGTTCCCTTTGAAGCGATTGTTGAACTGGCTGGTGCAGGAACCTGAAATCACCATAAAAGGTGTCCTGGCGGGACTGGTGGGTTCCCCAAAAGAAAAATCCGTGAGCCTCTGCTCAGCTGTCGTGATTGAACTCTTGGTGCAACTCATCAAGCCATGTGAGTCGCCTCCTCAAAACTGATTCGGGTACTGGGAGGGTAAGGGACAATCCCCTTGCCATAAATGGGTGTGGATATCCGCCTTTCCAGTTCTTGAGGCATGGCTCTGGGTTCGCCATTTTGTACCAGGTTTTGATTGTGACTCCCTTGCAGCCAAAGCGAGTCGACCTGACATGACCTTTTAGCTATTCCCCCTTTTGGTACACTTGTTGGTCGTATCCAAGCTTCACCTTTACTTCCAGGTGCTTTGGGCAGCCGAGATAAGGGAAGACACCGGTAAATGCAGTTCCCTTGACAGGACGGCGAAAGTTTACCGTTGCTCATGGATTCTCAGAAACAAACCGGGAAGGGACTGGCACCCCCCAAACAACTGGTTTTTCCCCATGTCGGGGACTTTGCAACTGGATGAAGAGGAGGTTGCTGAATTTGCCGTTCGAGGGAAGCAGACCAAGCATGAACGTTTACCCATACGAGCAAACGGTTGCAAACCGGAGGTGTCCAATCACCAGCCACTGAAACACACGACCCTTGAAGGATACCATGGGCATAAGAGAGCTTTGAGCGGGATAGCGTCTCCGCTTGGCTGCGGCACTAGCATTGCCTGTAAACGGCTGTTGGATCGGTTTGCAGAAATGGCCGCAAACCGGGCATGGTTTATGTGGTTCCGTGGGGTGATGTTGTCATTGGCAAGCCCGGCATCACCCACGGGGTTGACACGCCTCCCCCGCTGTGGAGTCTGACGTGGGGCTTAGACAGGACTCACACGATTCTGGGAAGCAGGGCCATGTTTTGGCATCCAGTCCTCAGAGACTCCAATGTTCTCTGGTAACACATATCTTTCAGGGTAGATCAATACATATCAATACAGAAAGTGTGATAGTACAGATTTGGGTCAAGGTGGTTCTTGCTTTTGGGCACCGTTTTCCCTTCGTATATTTAAAGGGGAGCCAAACGGACCACCATTTTGGGAGGTCCAGGTCCCTATTTTGCCACGCACCCAGCGTCTTGGAGGAGCGGTCGGCGGTGCTAAAGATGCCCGAGCCGCCGCCAGAGACGGGCCTGCTGAGGACGTCTGGGCGGCGGATTTTTGTCGAAATCGTTTTCCCTTTTGCAATCCCGCACGAAACCCAGTGGATTTCTAATTCCAGGGCTTGATCCCCCCTTCTTTTCAACCATAGTTCTTTTCAACAACCAGCTGTTTTCCCAGGGTTTTGGGTGGTTTGTTAGAAAGAAGGATGCCTGGAAACAATGGGTAAGGTACCCCAAGACGAATGTGGATGGATTCATGTCAAATGGGTGTGGCTCAAAATTGGGGTCCAAAATGGATCCCTGGTAAATGGAAGAGGCTAAAACCTGCGTAACCCCGGGTGTTTAATTTTGAGCCGCACCCAACTGTCGAGCACTCCGAAACGCTGGGACCTCCCTTCAACCATCAGAATCTCAGCATTTGCTCCATTCAGGAAACTCCTCCTTCGGTCGATCTGAGTCCGTGTTCCCCTGAAGCCGCGGGAGTCCGGGAGTCCACGAATGGTACAAGGGGCATGGCAAACACCAATCGCTTGCTCTCGGAATATCAGGAAACTTCTTCTGAAAAAGTAACGTGATATTTCCTGGGTGCGAGATGAGTTTGGTTGACCAAAGTGATTCGAGCTTGTGTTTGGAATAGCTCGCACGTTTTCTAGGTGCGATCGGGGCTTGTGGAAAACCCAGCATTCCCCATATGGGGGTTGCTGTTGTTGGGGACCGTCCCTTTTGAGTTTTAAAGGGACACCAAACGGAAACCAGGAACATGGCAGGTTCCACTATTTCGAGACAAGTCCATATCCCACCTGGACTTGCAATTTTGGTCATTCTTTGGGCGGGGGGGGGGGGTGGTGCCGAAATCTATCGATCAGACCCTACTGCAGGACGGACCTCATCGAGATGAGGATTGAGAACGTGTCCTTCAACTACCGCCCCAACCAGCCGCGCGACGTAAGTCTATCTCCCAGGGTGGAATCCCAGATGTCCTTGAAACTTGGGTTTTTGGATCTCTCTTTTTTCGGATACCAAGGGAATCCATCAGGGTTTCCTCCATGTCCCCTTTTGCAACCTCCAAAAGTTGCCGTTTCAAGGGACAGCACCAGTCAATTGAGTCAATTGCATGCAAGACGGAGTCGGATTTTGCCTAATTACCCCCTTCCAACACACATGGATGTGGACTGGTGGGTTCCCCAACAGCAAAGTAGTCCGGGACCCTCTGGATGGTCAGCTTCCGCGATTGAACTATTGGTGCAGATCAAGTGCTGTGAGTCACAATCAACACCCAGGTAATTGGAGGGTAGTAAGGGAGACATGGATGCGGCCACCTTTGAAAATTCTCTACATAGTTTTGGGTAGACCATTTTACGACCGGGTTTCGATTTTTGACTCCGGGTTTTTCTCTTCACAAGGAAGCTGCTGGAGAACGTGGGGCTGTTGCACGTGCCCTTGGGCAAGATAGAGCCTTGGCGTCCGAGCAGCTCCCATTGAATCACATTTTGGGACTTTGAAGCGATTTTCCTTTTGGCGGGGTGCTGTTTAAAGGGGAGGAACGGGACTTATCGAGAACTCGACTTTAAAAAGGGCTCGCAAAGGTTTTTTTTGTGTTTTCTTGTTAATTTGGAGATACCCCCCTTTTTGGAAGAAAGGCACAACCCGTTTTAGAAGTTCGGGTTTCCTGTTATCCCTCTTAGCAACCCTCTATGTCCATATGAGTCTGGTGGTTTCCACTAAAACTGCTACTTTTGGAGATTCAAAGGGAAATGGAGGGAAGCTGGTACTTGGCGTTCTTCTCGCGTTTTTGTGGGGGGTAAACGCACCTGTCTTTTGCTCTCCGCAGCAACCCAGGTTGCCTTGGTGGGAGTGCATGGCTCCGGCAAGCTCCTTGGCAACAAGCGTGCCGAACAAATAATCAACTTCATACGGGTGTGATTTTTGTTGAGTGGTTGGATCCTGTGAACATTTTGTGCAGATACTCAGGGTGATTCATGTCTCCAGTGACTTTTGAGGTGGGTCCAACTCTTGAGTTTCATACCGCTGACTGGGGGAAAACCTACCTCACGAAGCGAGACCTTTTCTGCTGTGTTTTCGGACCCGGCAAAAAGGAGATACTGGATTTGGAAAACGAACGGTGCAATTCGTCAGTGGCATCCAGAACTTACAGGCAACTCCCCTGGACTAGCATCCTGAATCGGAGCTTGGATCTCTACCGGAGGAGCCGGTTTGGACTACTTTAGCCGTAAGCAAACACATAAGTGATTTTGTTTGAGAACTATTGTGCTGTGCCAGATTTGTACTCTGCACTTCCATGATTGCTCGGAACCTGGGTGGTTTTGTTTGTTTGTTTCTTTCTTGATTTCTTTCTTCATTTCTTTCTTTCTTTCTTTCTTTCTTTCTTTCTTTCTTTCTTTCTTTCTTTCTTTCTTTCTTTCTTTCTTTCTTTCTTTGCTTGTTTGTTTGTTTGTTTGTTTGTTTGTTTGGTTTCTTTGGTATGTTCGAGATTTTCAGCTTGATTTGGCTCCAAGCTGAGCTATTAATCTTTGGTGTTATTTACAGGAAGTTTTGCGGCAAGAGAAGCCACCCAGAAAGAAGACTTAAGTTCCCCGGATGGAGGTCCCCTAGGGCAAGGCCCCAATTTGGATGAAACTCCTACCAGCACCCTCCGCCCCACAACTTGTTCAAGCGTCCAAGATGCCCTTGCTACGCCAAGCAAAATCAGCTGTTGCTGTGGACCTGGGTGCTGATAAGGAGTGGTGGCTATGCTAACCCAACCGTTTGATGAATGGCTCTCAGGCTGGGGCTATTCCAGGGGGCGTTTGAGTTCATCGTTCTTGAGATCATGGCGAAGAATCAGTTGAACTGAGTGGTCCAAGCACGTTTTACTTTTGCGGTTGACTAAGAGGCTCAGAACTGTTTTTGTTTCTGTCCACCCCAGATGTGGGCCAAGGGTTCTTCTTTGACGACACAACACATGCAAATCCAGTAAGGCTCATTTGCTTGAGCTGATTCGTTTCACCGGTTCTTGAACAAATTCAATCCGTTCGCCCAATCATGAGTAGCCCCCCACCCCATGAAAATAGTCGCCTGCCGGAACAGTATTAATAGGGAACCCGGCGCGAAACGGCTTTCCTTTGGGCACATCTGTCCTTAAGCAATGTTGAACCCTATATAGGGTTATTGTTTTGTAGCACAAACTGCTGGAGGACAGCATGATGCTTTTGGACTTTTAGCTCACAGACCAGGGGCAGATACTCGGCCCAGCGAGGCTTCTGGAGCCCAGTGTTGCTGCTTTGGTCTTGATTTTAGAATACGTGTAGTTGAAAAGTCCTATTGGGGGCTGGGAGATTTGGGGAGAGAGAGATATGTTTATGTTTGTAGGGTGCATTTCTCAAGCGCTTCCTTTTGACAATTGGGTTTTGCTGGGTCCTTTGGGCAACTGAGTATCCGAGGGGAAGGGATTGTCTCCAAACACCGCGGGCTTCGATTCCTGCGTCCTGAGGAATACTTTTCTGCGGCTCATCGCCAGCAGACTGCTGCCTGAAAAGGGCGAGATCTTTGTCCCTACGCACTTGCGGGTCCTCTTTGCCCCTTGTCAGACGTGATACACTTGGGTGGAAGGTTTGTCATTTTTGAGTTGCTACCCTTTTGGGGTGGTATTAAAGGGAAGTCAAAGGGAAACCACACATTCTTGGAGACAAACCGAAGATGGCACGTTTCTCATGGTTTTGTCCTCTCCGCTTGCCAAGTGAATTGCGCCATCTACTCTCACGGTGCAAAGACCTTTGAAATTCGAAAGGTTAGTCATCCACCCTTGGCTAGAACAACAATTGGGTGTGTCTTTTTTTTTGGGGGGGGATCCACTTCCAGGTTGGTTTAAATGGACACCAACAGGAAGCCAGCCATTTGTGGGGTACCTATTTTGCAACACACCATAGCCGTGTCTTTCAACCGGACTAAGAATGGCACTCAAGGTCGTGAACGTACGGCCTTTTAGACGGCTCCCGAAATCAACATGTGGCGAACGTGTCTGTTTTAAATGAAGACCACTAAGTTTCGGGGGTGAACCACATATCCCCTGAATGGGAATGTCTAAAATTTGGGCCTTGTGGCTGTCAGGTTTCAATTTCTTGAAGACAGACTTGACCGCTTAGCGTTTGCTCAAACGGTGAATTCCTCAGTTTCGGAGGACATCAAGCCGCCGTTGATCAAATCGGAAGATTTCTTGACTTCCTCCCCCAGAGTTTGCAGGGATCAGTTTGTGACGAGTTGTCAAGCAGCCCTCCCGGAAACTACGCATGAAACCTGAAATCCGAGAGGAACCCTGGTCTACACATGCGAATGGGTTGTACAAACCGGTGTACCAAAATGTTGTGAGAATCGTAGACAATCAGTGTATAAAAAAATCAGAGACAAACCAGTGAAGTATTGTTGAGAGAGTAAAGCTTCTTTATTTTCCACAATGCGAATGCAGGCGTTCTTGACGTGACACCTTAGTCCTGCTCTCCAAGAGCTTCTAAACAGAAGCGACTGAACCATGGCGATGCATCCTCAGGTGGCTCAAGATCCGGTTCTCCTTGATGCCAGCGTGTGGGAGACACTTGGCTTTTGGGATTGGCTCGCTTTTCGATTAGGAAAGCAAAGGGAAATCGAATCAAAGGGACACCGAAGCCCATGCTTGGGCATTCAAATTTGGGAGGAGGAGAACGCGGGGAACCCGTTGCACCCGTGTGCAGTCACATGTCGGTGCTGGGAATGAGCAGAAGCCTAGAAGTAATACAGGGCCCAGACACACAAGGATGTTTGCTGTTTCTGTTTTAGTTTCCCCTACAGACAGCAGAAAAGAAAATCACCCAGTGTTGGTTCTTTCCGTTGATGTCGTGGTTGTGGAAAATAGGGCCTGTAGGGCCATGTAGTGTGCTACCTAGGGAATTTTCCCAGTTGATCAAGTAGCATTGGGATGGGAATCCCACTCCGGTATCACACGAAAAGTTCCAATGTCCACAACCACTGTTCAAGGGTTTAGCTCATGTGGGTACGTGTCAAACGAGGACTCCCTAAAAGGGTTGTTTCTCTTTAGTTTCATTTGAACCGACCCCATTTTCAAAGGGTAAAGACTCCAAGTAACCTCAAGCAACGCACAACACCAAGCTGAGCGCCCAGCCACAAGGAACTTGACGTATGGGGCACCAGACAACAGCGACCTGGATGTGGTGAAGGGCGTCTTGCGGCTGCTGAACATGCCAAACATACTCGACATCCTCGAGACCCTTGGCATGAATGTTAACCCCGGATCTAAGTAGAACCCCTGGTTGATTAATAGGGGGGCGTCCCCTTTTAGTGCGGATTCATCACTTTTGGAGGGAACACCCCCCTAATAATGGGACGGGTTTATTATTCGTGAGTCAACATTAATGTTGACTTCGGATTGCTCCGGAGGACACTGCCAAAGAAAAGGGAGCTTCCCTTTGAGCAAGGAAATGATCCTTTATTTCAGGCTTCCGCTGACGAGGGTCCTCCGGATGAATCTGAAGTTCACATGATGTCTGAACATGGATGCCGCTGCTGAGCATGAAGAGCTTTTCTGGTTCCCTATAAATCAAGATCTGCATTTGACCCTGGCAAGCGTTTCGCGTTTTTCTTTTGTAGGAGCTTGGCAAGGATGTTTCCACTTGTCCGCGCAAGTTGTAACGCTTGCCGTACGCTCGCCCACAGAGGGGTCCCTTACTTCCAGGTTGTGAATGATGGTAATCGCATATGAGTATGGGTCAAAAATAAAAGACCAGGGACCACAGGCTGTAGTCTGTTTTTTCCCCATTTACCAGGCAACCCATTTTGGGGTTACCGTATTTTTGACCCACACCCTGGTTGTCACCGGGACCCAGGAAAAGTGTGGGATACCCTCTACATTCAGCTTGTGAGTTGTGACTCGTACTGGAAATCATGATTCGTGACATCTGTCAAGTTCGCTGGACCCCAAAATAGCGGGTTTCTTGTTGCTTTCCCTTAAAACCAGCCCAAAAGCAAAAATACACAGAGCAAACCCAGCTCCTTTGGGTGCAGTGAGCGCAACTTGTTTCGATGAGGTTGAAACGCCCCCGAACTGACTCATCCGACGGGTGGTTGCCTCTAAGGCGATCCCCCAAGTTCATTCCCACCCCTGTTGATTCCCTAGTGACCAGCACAGGGGGGGTACCTTCCACGACAAGATTTCAATAATTGGAAAGCTGTTGTGAAGAGTGGTTGGTGCACCCCCTACTGACCAGCACGACGATGGTTCTTTTTCAGGTTTCGGCCGTTTCTCGCCCCTTTTTGCTAGATCCCCCCCATTTTTTCTGTACTTGGGCCTCTTGCATGGCCCTTTCTTTTCTCGCCAGTTCGGCTCAGCCAGTTTTCCAGATCCCAACTCCCGAACTCCTGGGGAGCAAGTTTTAAGCATGGCGCGGCTCATCGCCTTGGCCCTGGTTGGGAGTGCCTACGCTGCCTGCGAGAGCGGATCTTGTGATGCCGATGACACAGAGCTGATGCAGGCGCACGAGACTCAAGCGAGCAATCATCGATTCCTTTCAACTTATTGGAGCCCACTTCCACTCACTTCCACTCACCTTTCTTGGGCACCCCCCAAAATGGGTTTCGGTGTTCCTTTTTCCACGGTTTCCGGTTACAGCCACCCCAGAAATGCGGGGGGCGGGGCCCCCACCAAAAGAAATCTCGCGAGCCGCCCGTCTGGGCGTTTGCCGTGGTGTTTTTGCTGGAGTTCTCGGAGCCGAACCACTCCCCCACTTCTATTTGCTTAAGCATATTGGGCTGTGGTTGTCAAAAATTGGCTAACCCCAAAATGGGTTACCCTGGGAAGTGGAAACATCAAACCTGCAGTCCATATCCTGGTGGATTAATTTTGACCCATACTCGTTTTTAGCTTTCCCTCTTGGTTTGAAAGGGAAGCGATATCACTACTGGACATATCTTTTTTTTTCCACGGGTCTTAAGCAAATGGAAGCCCAGTTCGGAGTCAGCTATGAAATTCGGATGCTTTGGAACGCCTCAAGAAATGTTGGTGAACATAAAAATCGCATCAAAGGGGCCAGCAAAGGGTCCATTTCACTTGAGACTCCAATCCATGTCACTTGAATGTATTTGATACCGACTATTCCATGGGTACTGTAGGTAACACAAGCAATTTGTTCAACATTATTCCCCAATCTGAACATGCACAAAGGCGGGAATTACAGGAAAGGGTTTGTTTCGGTTGGAAAAGAATGGCGGCCAGTCCAGGGGCAGGGAAAAGGCGTGATCAGCCGCGTCAATGCTAGAACGCCACAAAGCCAATACTCTGAAACAGTCCAACTATGTTTGAAGAGAAATGTTCAAGGGGGTTGTAGGGAAGCCTCGGAAATAGAACAATGAACAATGATTAGGGTAGGAAATAGAGAAACCAAAGAATCACTGGGCCAGTACAAAGAAATGCTCAGCGAAGACTGAGCTAGTACTAGACTCGTACTGAACTAGACCAACCTGGAGATTCATTCTTCATGAATTTCCTGGTAGTTCTCGTCTTTAACTTGCTTTTCCTCAAAATCGATGAGTTTTTAGTGAAGTCGTCTAAAACTACTAAAACTCCTAAAAGGTCGTGAGATTGCAGAATTGGTCCTTTGTTACATTTTCCCCGCCCAGAATTACCCGCAAAACGCCCGCTAAAAGACCGCAAACGCCCGCAAATCAGAAAAAGACGCTTTTTGGGTTCAGGGGTCGCCCAAAACTCCTAGAAATCCCGAAACTACCAGGAAACCAAAACGCCTAGGAAAAGGCCGGATAATGAATCTTCAGGAATAGTGAACCACATTAAGACAATCCAACGTCGTCAAAACAAGCTGAGGGCCCCAACAGCCAAAATCTCAGCGACACCCTTTTATGTTTAGGCAGGAAAATAGAGAAAGGCGATCAGTATTTTCAGGATTTGTGTGAACGCCGCTAAACCCAACCTAAACCAACTTTACACCAAACCAAACCAACCCGCCCCCCACCCCACCCCACCCCGCCCCACCCCGCCCCACCCCACCCCACCCCACACCCACCCCACACCCACCCCACACCCACCCCACACCCACCCCACACCCACCCCACACCCACCCCACACCCACCCCACACCCACCCCACACCCACACCACACACACACACACACCACACCCACCCCACACCCCCACCACACTCCCACCACACCCCCACCCACCCCCCCGCCACCCGCCAGCCCCCACCACCCACCACCAGCCCGCCAGCCACCCGCCAGCCCCCCGCCACCACCCACCACCAGCCCGCCAGCCACCCGCCAGCCCCCCGCCACCACCCCCCACCACCCCCCACCTGCGCATGGTGGCAGCGGCGCCACAGAAAAGGAAACGGGGTCCACACAAGGAATCAATGGAGGTGCCGTGCGAGTCGGCAGGAGCCTCATGACAGGGGGTTCTGAGGCGATGGTGGCAGCGGCGCCACAGAAAAGGGGACCGGGGTCGGCCATGCAAGGCACGGCGTAAATGCCGAAAATCAATGGAGGTGCCGTGCGAGTCTGCCGCAGGCGATGGCAATGTCCTCGTATTCCGCGCCAAGAAAGGGCGGCAGCGCCAGTGGCGCCAAAGCCAAAGTGGCGCCAAAGCCAAAGCCGCCCTCGGCTCGGCCTCGGCTCACAGGAAGACGAAAAGGCGCCGGCGGACTAGAGAGGCGGGCGCTCTCTCCCACTCACTTGCTTGTTTGCGCGCAGGAGTGATCTCGTGGAGTCTTTGGACGCCGCTCACATTGTTCAGCCGGTCGACTCCGAGAGCACTTCGACAAAGCCGCTGCTCGTCTTGATGGAATGAATCACTCTAGTGTCTCTCACTCTCTCAGATGCTGGCAGCTGTGCCTAGGCATGCAGTATCACCGCGCGGCAGCTTCACAGCAGCTCGTGTCAAAGGGGCAGGCGAGGTCAGCTTCTTATCTATATACACTGTTTTGTGTTGCGCCCAGCTGGCCAGGGCAACCTACAGTCCACCGCCCACCGCGACAAAGGTGGTAGCTGCAACTTGGAAGACGCTAAGCGACGAGCAGAAGCAGGCCTTCCAAGCACGGTCGGCGTTTCATGGATGTTTCGGACATGCGCAAAATCATGGCAAACGATAGGGGCCTTCCTTCTTTTCTCTTCCTCCCTCCCTTCCTTCCTCCCTTCCTCCCCTCCTCCCTTTCCGTTCCTTTCTGCTTCCCTCCTTGCCTTACTGTCTTCGGAAACCTTCGTGCCTTGCTCTCTTCTTCCCTCCTTACCTTCCTGTCTTGGGACGCCTTTGTGCCTGGCTTCCGTAGTACTCTCCTCCTTTCTCTTGCTCGTTTCTCTTCCTCCGTGCTCTTCATCCCTTTCCCCCTGTCCTCCCTTCCTCTGTTCCCACCGCTTCTTTCCTTCCTTATTCTTCCTTCTGTTCTACCTTCCTTTCCTTTCCTTCCCACCCCGCCCCGCCCCTTTCCGTCCCGTTACTTTCTGATGTTATTCCATCCTCAGCCTTTTGTATTCCTGCAATACTGGTATGTGGCACGCATAACGCTGGGCACGGGCTGCGCTTGAGGAGGTGTATGATCGGCGGAGGGCTGCCCAGAAAGCGCAGCGTCAGCAGGAGGATATCTGCGACAGCAGGCGAGGCAGCTTCGACAGCATGGCAAGCTGCTCGAGACGCTGCAGAAGCAAATGAGTTGCCTGCTGAGCAGCCTCGCCTAGCGGCCATGGTTCATGCCGAGCATGCAGCATAATTCATAATCAGGAGTTGCGCAGATAGACAATGCATTGTGAGTTGCACTTCACACGTTTTCAGATTAGGTGTGGGGTGAGGTCCGGCTAATGATTACCAAAAGGACCGCAGTTGACCATGGCTCATAGGAGTCAATCCGTTAGGTTGCACTTCACACGTTTTCAGATTAGGTGTGGGTCACCACCCCACCCCACACCCCCACCCCAACCCCACCCCACCCCACCCCACCCCACCCCACCCCACCCCACCCCACCCCACCCCACCCCACCCCACCCCACCCCACCCCACCCCACCCCACCCCACCCAACCATGAACCAAACCTAAACCCAAACCAGCGGTAGCCATCTCTAAGCCACCCTAAACCTACCCCAGACCAAACCCAACCTAAGTCCACCTCCAACCACTCTAAATCCTAAAAGAATACAGTGTGAAACCAATTCGCCCGAGGTTTTCTTGTTGACCCCCCCCCACCCCGCCCCCCCGATTTCTTTGCAAAAGCGTGCCTCTGATCACTAACGGAGCTTGACGACGAAATGTGTCTTTCTGGAGCTCGGATGCCCCGTAATCGGCTTGTCCTTTCGGTTCCCCTGAAAAAATGTCATACCCGCAAACAAAGACATGGTTGCAAACATGGGTATCCTTTACCCGCAAAACATGGTCGCAAAGTGTGTTCCCCGCAAACATGGGGATTCCTTTCAGAATGGAGCCACACACTTTGCGACCCGAACACGCTTTCTGTTCGCATCAAAACCTGCCCAGAAAATCAAGCAAACTGGGGAGCGAGCCAAAAACGGGAGAGCGAGCGGCATTCGGCCTTTGCGCAGGTGGACATCAACCAGGTGCATCAGAAGGATGCCGCGGCACAAATGGCGAGCTTGACACTAGGCAATCGATCCTTGGGGGTCGCTGGCCTGTGCTTCACAGCCCCTTCAGATTAGCAAGTGGAAGTCCATGGTCGACAGACTTTCCTTTTGCGTTCTGGAACCTGAAGGGCTTGGTCTTTCAATGGCTTCCATGGGATTGGGCAGCTGCCTCCTTGAACAAGAACTTGTTCATGCCAACCAAAACACCCAACCAGCTATTTGTTCAAGATGATCCCCTCGTCCACAGGTGTGGATGTATCCGTTGAGTAACGCTGAACTGCACGGTTGCCTGTGTCCGCTCGCGCTCCGGAAGTTGGGAACACCTTCATAGCGAGGAAAGTGACGATCGTGTGGCAAATGGGGCGCGTTCAGCAGGATGTTGAGGCTATTCTGTATGTATATATATATATATATGTCTATGTGTATATATATATATCTATATCTATGTATATATATATGTACATGTTTATGTCAATGCTATTCTGTTCCTACTGGAACATAAACCTTGGCTGCATGGTTGTGAATCCATGTGTGCGTGCGTTCAGACAGTCGTTGAGGGTGTTCCACCTATGTTCGCTCAGGTCCCCTTTTGTTGTCTTGTCGTTCCACCCGCTGCACCCACATGTGAGTGGGTTCCACCCATGTTCAACCCATATAAATATAATATATATATATATATATTATATGTATATTGTATGTATATATACAGAAGGGGTCGTCATGGGGGCTGAGTTTTTTCAGATTCCTGGGGGCTGAGTTTTTCAGATCCCTGGAGGCTGAGTTTTTTTCAGCAAAAAAACCAAAAAAACAAAAAACACAGCCCATCATCTGCATCTGCTAGTTCAGGGCCATGGGTCTGTTTGGTTTTGGTTGTTTTGTTGTTTGGTGCCTTTGGTCATAAACACCAAGAAAACCAAAAAACACAGCCCATCATCTGAAGACGATGCTTTCTTGATGCAAGCTTTCTTGATGCAAGACATCAATAATATGATGAGATGTGTATCACCAGAACATAAGCCTCTTCCAAGATATTCTGCAGGTAACTCCAGGTAACTGGGGATAATTTATCTCATCTCTCATTTCATCTTCTGCAGGTAACATCTCATCACACGCAATTGCTTGTGGCTTGTGTCTACTTGAATCTATTCTGAACAGCTTTACTGTTGCAAGAGCTCTTCAGCAACACGAATAGCTGCAGAGAATCTTATTCCAAAGCTCTTATTCCAAAGCTGAACAGCTTTATGCAGAGAATGTTATTTGCATCTGCAGATATCGTTGCAGGTGCTCATCTTTGCATCTTGTGCTTCTTGAGCTCAGGCAACTAGATTGGAGCTGTGCTCCAATTGCTCCAGCTCATTATGCGATAAATATGTTTGTGTTAGCTGTCTTTTCTCAAGAGCATGGGCAGAGCCCATATTGAAATATTGAACATCCAACTGTAAAAAGAGCTGCTGAAAGCTGCATAGATCAGCGATATCTTACGTTTCTTATGATTTCATATGCATGGCGTGCTTGCCATACTTACGTGTTTCAGAATTGCAACACAACAATAATATTTGTCCCAAACATACATCTGCTTGCAGATTGCTAAGCATACGTCTTCCAAAATATTGCATACGTATGCAAATTGTGTTGAAGATTTGTGCCAAACATACGTCTTCCAAAAGTTAGCACCCTGAGGTTTATAAGCTTGGCATGCGTAAGCATGCCAATTATCCAAAAATAAGCTACAGACACACGTTTGCTAAATATTTGTGTCCAACAATGATATTTGTGCAAAATACTTCTCAGCAGGCAGTCTTCTGTGTAGCTTGAAGCTAGCTCATTTTCCAGGGATGCATCTGAGTCTTCATTGGATCGAAAATGAATCTGTGCTTGCATGTCATCAGCCAAAAAAACAAAAAACGCACCCCAATAAATCTAAGAGGTCACGGGTCTTGATCTTATATTTTTGATATTTTTTAGTGTTTTCAATGGAAAAACTCAGCCCCCAGGAATCTGACAAACTCAGCCCCCAGGAATCTGAAAAACTCAGACCCCAGGAGTCCGCCCTCTATATATATATATACATGTTTATGTCAATGCGTTCTGCTCGTGTTGCACCCATATGCGGCTTCACCCAACCAGCGGCCCAACGCACTTCTCGAGGATCGAGCGGGCCTTCGCGGGCGTCCGGGGGAAAGGGCGCTCGCCTACTGCGGCCAGCATCATCAACGAAGCCTTTGGCAACGCGGGGATCGGATGGGATCGCGGATGTCGTGCGGCTTTCCTTTTTTGGAGGCGAAATATGTGCCCTTTTTCACCTGGATTCAACAAAGTGCACCAAAAAAGAAGCCGATATTAAAAGGGAGGGGTTCCCTGATTTGAGCAGTTTGTTTTGGGGTTGACTGTGATTTACAGGAAAGCCTCAGGGATTCCTGGGGTCTCTATTTCTCACGACCAAGTCGTTCTTTGCACTCCGAAAATGGGTGGCCTTCCTCTAGATTTCACGGTAAACCAGCCTTTCAAGGACCCTCAAAGAAGCAACCTAGAAGGGATCATTTTGTCACCAGTTTTTTTCAGGGGTCCCTGAATTCCAATTTTTTTGGAGCTCCACAAGTGGCAGACCCATGAGTAAATCGAAGAGGGACCCTGTCTTGTTTACATTTTGGGGCAGTGGTACCCGCAACAAGTCTCTTGGGCCCGGAAAACGACAGGCAACTCGTGCCATCGTCAGTGAAGCTTGGGGAAGGCAATCCCAAGCATTTGTGCAGATATCGGCACTTGAAATTCTTTACTTGGTTTGAGCAGCCCCCTATAGTTTTGACTCATATCGTCACACCGCGTGTGTACCCCCAATCATTCGGGTTATGAAGATGCTAGCCTCACAGTCGTTGGCCGCGGTTCCGTCTTGTTCTTTTCTTTCTACAGGGGACCCTTTTTGGATCCTTTGGTTTGGTTTTAAGGAAAACCCCCATAAAAAGACACACGAGTTTAAATTAACGCGATTTTGATGATTGTCTGGTTTGGGGCCAACCGGCCAGGTTGATGTTGTTTGAACCTCCGGGGTTCCCATTGGCGTTTGATGACCTCAGTTTCCTGTGAACCGGTTGCATGTGAGCTAAAATGGACGTGTCTCAAAATCGGAGACCCCAAACAATGGGCTTCCGGTGTCCCTTTGGAGTTCCTTGAAGAATCAGGCAGGGGTACCAACTCAAACATGACACCCAAATGGACCCAGCGGGACCGCCATGTTTTTCTGTCCACCCAAAGTGTGGGTAGATCAAATGTCAACAGCCTTGATGTGAAGCTGACCCAAGGCGGTCAATGGCTGTTTTTGTTCCTTCATTTCCTTCTCTCAAAAAAATGGCTTGGTGTTTTCCGCCGGGTCAGTTCTGTATGTACAGGGCTGGAGGGCTGGATACATTTCAATGGACAAACCCCGCGCCTGTGGGAAGACGATTTCAATAACCACGCTACTGCTACTTCGGGGCTGAGGGCATGCCTTGGTTGAGTCACTTCTTACCTCCTTCCTTCCGTTTTGTCCCTTCCCTTCTTCCCTTTCCTTCCCTTTCCTTCCCTTTCCCTTCCCTTTCCCTCCCCTTTCCCTTCCCTTTCCCTCCCCTTTCCCTTTCCTTCCCTTTCCCTTCCCTTTCCCTTCCCTTTCCCTTCCCTTTCCCTCCCCTTTCCCTTCCCTTTCCCTCCCCTTTCCCTTCCCTTTCCCTTCCCTTTCCCTTTCCCTTCCCTTTCCCTTCCCTTTCCCTTTCCCTTTCCCTTCCCTACTTCCTTCCTGCGTCTTCAGTATTCCTACAATACTCGTAATGACAAAATGGAAGGCAACACAACCCACTGGAAATTGATCACAAGCTCGACGGCGAAACTACCACATGTACAAGTAATTTCCACCGCACGATTTTTTGTCGGTAAAGCCATATTTGGGTTGTTCAGTTAAACCAAACAACAAAACAAAGAAACAAACCAACTTCCAAATCTCCCCAATACCCAGTACCCCCCAACTTGCCTGCTTTGTCCCATGTCCAACATCCCCTTGGTACGTGCTGGCAATTTCCCTGGTGTTGTCTGTTTTTTTTTTGCAATTTCCCAGCGGTTTTCCCAAACAAAAAGTAACAACATCCAAACGAAGCCCAATTTCCGCCGCTTTCCGCTTTCCCATTCGGAGGTCACGGAGGACGGGGGGTACCTGCTGGGCAACATCAAGGCAGATGCGACTTGGGAGGAGTGCACCAGGATCGACTGGAACGAGGTGGCCAAGTTCGACGATGAGGAGGGCAAGCTGTCGCCCTACTCTGTGGAAAGGACGGGAAAAGCAAACAGAGGGGTTTGGGAGTGTCTCCCCCAAAAATCAGACCCTCAAAATGTGTTCGTGTTTCGCCTTTTGTTGACCTGAAACCACCTCAAAAGAGCGTTTAACTAAGGGTACCAAAAAAAGGGCACACCGGCTGTGAAAATTGAATGCGTCCAAGCATAGGAGCCGAGCCAACTGAGAGGTGCTGATCCCAAACTACTTCTGAGGGAAAACCACCCAAGGACCATTGGGGCAACATCCCAAGTTTGACGGTCTCGAGGGGTGTGACCTGATTTTTGGTGTGGCTGTTTTCCCACTTTCCTTTGAACCCACAGGGTACCCCGAAAAGAAAAATGTTTAGCACATTGGGTGGCTTAGGTTTTTCAGCACAAGCACACCACCCAGGGTCAGGGATCAGTCACGACCCCTTGTTTGGAGTTGACCTCATTTTGTTTAAGAGTCGCGGACACTCCGGGTACAACAAACCACAAGGTGCTGAGTTTGCATGGATCGTGCCGGTTGCAACATGGAGGTTTCCAATCACCGGCCAGAGGTACACCCGGAAGCAACAGGATTGGTCGACTTGAGTCACTACTGTTTGGTGGTGTTGAATGGAAACCAGAGGGAAAACAACAAACAACATTGGGGACCCCTAAAACACGACACACCCCTTCACCAACGGAATCCATTTAATTGTTTGTCCAAAAAGACGCCTCTGATGGGGACTCGACGCAGACGACTCGAAACCCGTGTTTTGTGCACAAGGATCCTCGTTTCGCACATGGTATCAAAGGAGCACAAGACTTAAATCCACTCGAATCATGGGAATGGAGAGGCCTTTTCAAGACGAGTGAGTCTTCCACAACCCCACTGTGCACCATGGAATGGACGGGTAACATTTGGACATCCCATTTCTGGGTGTGATCGAAGCCATACAAGGGGTCACCCAATGTGGAGAGAAGTCAACCCACATCCATGACGATAGGATACCGCCGAAAGAGGACATGAGAAAATGGCAAAACTGGGAGTACTACATGTCGCGTGTTGTTTCTTCGCTTGCTCTGCAAGCGAATCAAAGGCGCGGACTTGACCTTTATATAGTTGTTCTCATGTTGGCTCGGTTTCGTCCGTCCAAAAAGTGAATCTTTTACTTGGTGCAATGGTTGCATATCTTGTTTTCTTTCAGATCAGGCAGGGTGGTTTAATCCTTTCGGGGTTGGGATCAAAGTGAGTTGACACCTGGTGGATGCTGAAGAGTTAGCTTCCCAGATTCGAAATTCCGTCTCTTGAGAAGCAGAACGCATCCCGAAGATCAGGCTTTCTGCGAGATCGCAAACACGAAGGTTGGAGCGAGAAGAAAAAACGAAAAAGCGCATCGCCTTAAAGCAAAATAGGGCAAGTCAGTGTGTACCAGCGCCCTGCCGCAACTGGAAGATGAAAGTGCATGCATTCGCCAGACGTGTTGGTGTATCAGCATTGTTCCCGGGCGGTTTTCCACTGCGCCAATGTCCGAAGCCGAAGGTTTCTTTGTCATCCACTCTTCTTGCCGGTGCGATCGGCAGCGAATGAGAAATGGAATGACCCCTATAAACCATCCCTTGTGGTTTCCTTTAAGGGGACCCCTGGGTTCATTCCATGTCTCATCCCTATCGCAGCAAGTCTTGGTTCCCTCGAGTTTTCGTCCCAGGATGCTGAAGGAGCTTCACCTGCAAGCGTGCCTTGACGGGGAGTCGGACTGGGCCAAGGATGACACCTGCAAAGCGGTGAAGGCGGCGCTCGAGGTGTCGACCGAGCTCTCCCACGATCCGTCGCTCGCATCGCCGAATTCAGGGAGGGTTCGGGGGGTCGTTTTTGAGGGCGGATGTTGGCTGTAGGTTTCTTGCAAGAGAAGCCAAAGGAACAAGAAACCACTTGAGAGGAGAAGGGGGCCCACCCAAGTTTCTCACAAACAGAGGCTGCAACCAGCCCATTTGTCCGTGTCTTGGACCCGTGAACATCCCAAGCCCCGGCCCAAAAACCCGAGGTTTGAGCCCCTCTTCGCCAACTTCTCGGTGGTCGCCTGGGGCAAGTACCCCTCCTGGGTGAAAGGCGCCGGCAAAAGCCATCGCGTCGATGTCCGCCGGAAAAAAAGCCTTCTGGAGGTCTTTCTGCCCTTCAAGGGGGGCAGGGGTGGCAAAAGGGACACTTTTGGGGGCGCCCAGAAAGGGGTTCAGACTCCCCATTTTAAGACATACCTGGAGTGAAGGTGGAAACAAGACTTGGCCTCAAAAGGAACTGGAGCCTCGTGCGTTCTTTCTCGGCGGGAAACGAAATAAGCACCGAGCGGAGGCCTGGAGGATGGAATTGGGCCATCTCGCGCGAGGTGGAGTCCATATGCCAGCAGGATCTCTAGCTTCAAGTATTTCAGGATTCCCCAAACGGCCGTCAAAAAGGGGCCAGCTTGCGAGATCTGCGATGATTATCACAGTCATTTACTCTCATCATGTCCTCTATCTTCTTGGGGGGGGGGACCTTACAGCATCTGAGCGACTCGAGGCTTCAAGATGCTCCAAAAAAAATCGGCAATCCTCCGAGGCTTGAAACGACTGGCAGCCCAAGAGCTCCAAGCAACCGGGAAGCCTTCAAACTGCCTTGTTCAAGCTGCTGGTGGTATACTTGTGCGCATAAAAATGCCTCCAAACCCCCCCTCCCTCTACTTCCATGTGCTTAAGAATATTTGTTGTTTGGCCCTGTTGGTTTTAAAGGGAATCTATCACTATTGGAATGGTTCCAGGGGGCTTAAGCAAATGGGGCCTCCATTAAACCACCAAAAATTGTTCACTTTTAGCAGGGGTTCGCAGAAAGTTCAACCAAGTACTCCGCTGCCTGAAAGTGGCCGGTGGTTTCTCTCAGACACCGTGGTGGACCTGGACTACTCCAAGCCGATGCCGGTGAAGGCCAAGGTGAAGGACCCCAAGGGCGTCATCGGCTACGCCATTTGCGACCTGCTGCGGGCAACTCGCTCGCTGAGCGCTGGGTGAGGATCTATGTGGGTCATGGTTGTTTTGTTTTTTGCTTTAAAGGAAAACCATGAAGACAACACCGTTTTGGGTCTCCTACGTGGGAAGAAGCAGCACGCCAATGGAAACCCATTGTGAAACTACAAGAAGGGGGTGTCATTTCCACATGGGGACAACCCCTGATAAACTCCAAATATTATGTGTTTCATTCTTTCTGTTTTGGGGTCTATGATATCAACCCCGGACTAAGATAGGAGGGATTTTCGTCAAGATATACCCTGAATAGTAGGGGGATGTGCTTTTTAAAGTCGAAGGTACCCTTTCTTAGGGTTAGACAAGAAACCAGAAGAACAACCAAATCTCTGTTGCAGTGCATACCTATTTCGACACATACCTATTTTGAGGGTACCAATTCTTTTCGCCCTCCTGACAGATCTTGGGGTGGTCTCTGGTTTCTTGGCACACGCAACCAATGGGTGGTACTTGAAGTGGGGCTGAAACAGAATATCTTAAAAATGTGGTTCCATTTAATTTCTGCACTGTTGTTGGCATGCTTTTTGGTTGTTTGATTCTCTTCATGTCTAGTTGGGGGCTACGAAAGACAACTCTCTTTGCTACAAGGGTTGTTCATATTATTGCTCAGGCAGACTAAGGCGAATCCAGAGAGGTTCCATTGTTGAAACCACCGTGCCTTTGCCACTTGTGGGAATCAGCTCGCCGCGCGTGTTTTTTAGCGCCACCAGACGAGCTCGAAATGTCCATAGTCTAGATTGTTTCTTATTCCCCTTGGAGGCTCTTTTCAAATCGGTTTCCTTGAGGGTTCGCGTTTGTTTTTGGGGGGACGCCTCACAGTTCCCATGTCCAGTTGGACACACTTGTCATGTTTGCAAGCCTTCACCAGATCAAAGCCCCGGAGGAAATCGGCTTGGTGTCCTTTCCCAGCGATTCCGTCTTCCCCCAGACATTAAAGCCGAGAGGCAAAGATCCTGGTTATCTATAAAGGGCAACTGGATCGTTCTATCGGATTGACAGACTCCACTATACCCAGCGGATCCATTTACCTGCATAGGCAACCCTGGGAGCCACCCCGATACGAAAATCTAAGAGGAAGATGGCTGGTCACCAAATGGCTGATTCGCCTGGTAGGACTTTTAGATAATTTGTTTAGTGCACACAACAAATGGGGCGTCCCTTATCCTGAGATCTGAGATGTTGATTAACATCTGAATATAGAAGAAACGCATTTAACCAGGAATTCCTTTCCAGATAGGATTCGAATGACAGTTCAACCAGAGTTGAAGTGGAATTTAATAAGGAATGCATTTGATTAGCATGTCCAGAAATTGCTTGTCAAATAGGATTCTGATTGACATTTGCCTAGAATTTCAATAGAAAGGAATCAACTTCAAAGCTATGTCACATTTCCGGCTGGACCAAAAAAAATCAGACTCAGACCATGTGATTTTCCGTGCACCGCTGGCCACGTATTCGAACCTGGTGTCCCCCGCCCCCCCCCCCCCCCCATTTCCGGTGAGGACGTATTCGGCACGCCCCAACAAAAATCGGTGAGGGCCTGTTTTAACGAGTGACCTGGCGTTGCACTCGTCCGAGGTCATCTTGACGCAGAGCGCCGACCAGATGTCCACGGGCACCTGTTCCTACGTGGCCAGCCTGGCGGCCTTGAGCCACAAGGCGTCAATGCTCGTCCGCTCGATCGCATGGCTTTCCAACGAGCCCTGCGCGGGTCAGGGCTGGAAGGTTCCCATCCAAAAAAAACGAAGAAACGCTCCCCGAGTGAGGTTTCAAGGCGGACAAACACAGTGGGAAGAAAAAGGGGGCTAAACAGATTGCTGACATTTTTTGCGTGACTGGTAAGGCTTGGTTTGGCTCCAACGTACCCCGCAACCCTATGCTCATGATTTAGGACGTGGGAGTTGATCAAACTTAACAGTCCTTTACATGGGATGATAAATTCACTACAAAGATATTTCCCACTAAATGGCGAACAGTTACCAACTTGGGTCATTTGACTTGGGCTTCCCAACTGGGAATATTGATCAAGCCCATGTCGGAGCGTGCGAAGCTGCACCTCGCAGGCTCCTGCAAAGCTCATCAAGTTGGCCGTGCGGCTTTTCTGGACAGGCGCGTCGGCTCTCGCATTCTTTGTGCTGGGCGGTGCTGTCAGGCACAGTCATGACCCAGGAAGCCCAACACAGTTTTCCGGTTTTCTGCGGTGTGGCTCACACTTTGCGAGCTTCATTTTGCTTTCCAGCTGCTGTTCATTTGTTGCTTGCTGGGCCTTCGCAGATAGCTGATTGGAGCCTGGAGGGCCGAAGGGATCGACCTGGGATCGACCTGCTCAACCTTTTGAAGCCATCCATCCATCGGCTTGGGGATTCAACCTGGGTTGAAGAATTCTTTTCCGGAGATGTACCTCAAGCAACAAATATCATTCCCCCGCCTGCCGGATTCCTGAGTGTTTTTCAAATCCAGTTTCGGGATGTGTTTTGAGAATATCGCGTTTTGGGGTTCAGGTGTGTTGAAGGCCATGATTGCTCTCTTTCAGAGGGCTCCATCAAGAGAGTCAAAGGGTCCCCACAGAGCAACGCGCGAATACCTGTTCCTTTTTGTTGCTCAAGAGTGTATACTCCTGGAAACACAGCCTCTCTTGAGTCCGCTTGCTCGTGAGCGCCTTAGGCCGATGTGCTGGATGTGGTGCCAGTGAGAAAGGGCATCGATTTCTTTTTCAGTGCAAGTGCAAGAAGTGGGCCAGGTAACTCAACCAATGGGTCGGTGAAAAACAAAGTAAAAGCATCACCCTTCTGGAGGAAAAAACACATGAAAACCACTTCGCCTCCGTTCGATTTCGGCTGCCAGGCATGATCACCCCCAAAGTGGGGAAAGCCTGTGACGGGATCTACCATCAGCAGCCGGGGCTGGTTCCTTTCAAGAGCGGGCCGCTTGGCGATGGTCTCCGTCTCGGCGCTTCTTTGGGTGTCCGAAATTCGGGCAGTCAAAGTGGGTGCCCTCAAAACAAGTTACCTCCATTTTCTGAAATGAATATATTCTTTTTTTATTCTCCCTTGTTGGTTTTAAAAGGATTTCAGCACTACTGGACATATTTATATTTTTTCCTGTGGCCTTAACCAAATGGAAGGATACTGCTTGGGCAGATTTGGGCAGACCACCGTAGACCAAATGGTTGGCTCGCTGGCTGCTGCATCCCCAGTATCGCCGGCATCGCTTGGACCCAGGGCTGCGCTTTGGCTCTTTGAGAGTCGCTCATGCTGTATCATGCATCCCATGTGGAAGCTGGGGGGGGGGTAGTGTAAAATTTTTACGCTTCCGCGTCGGAAGTGCAATCCACTGCCGTGCGCACTGCCACAAAGAAACATGAGCCTTGGGTGTTCCATGTCAGTTCGCTTCCGGCGAGCGCCTCTTACACTTTTCCTTCGAACACCCAAAGCTCCCAATTCTTGGACTCATTTGCCACTATACCCCGCAACTTCGCTTTGCTTTGCTGCTAATACCGGTATTTCAGGGATTCCAAATGGAAACCAAGAACCAAGAGGAACACCGTTGCGCCGTGTGTTTAAGGGGGGTCCAATGTCCAACCTTGACAAGGGGCACCTTGTGGTCGCAAATCTCCTGGGCAGCTGGAGCCGAAAAGAACCACCCATGGCTTTCTGCACTTGGACCTCTAACGAAGCGATGTGTTGCTTTTGGAAGGATTTGTGCCGGAAATCACCTTTGAAAACAAAACAGAGACATGAAACCCAGATTGTACCCAGATTGTGTTTTTTGTTCTTCTTTGTTTCCGCTTGAAGCTGTGCAAGTTGAACACGTCCCAAGACTCGAGGTCCAAACATGGGCTTCTGCGTGCATTATTTCGACCCTGTTGAGCAACCTTCCATACAGTTGTCGAGCTTTTGACGTCCGTTTCCACGGGACCCCACAGGAGAGAACCATCTTGTTTCGACCGAACTTCCGTATAGAACGGTTTTTTTCATGTAGAGATTTGTTGGGGTTCCCGGTTCCCTTCAAATTCAACGGACAAAAAGGAATGGAGCTCCTTTCCATGAAAGATGGATTCTTGGCTTTGCTCTTTAGTGGCAGCAACGAAGCATACCATGCCAAACAACACCACATATATATATATATATATTTTAATACACACTATACCCGATACCCTGCCACAAAACCTAGCATCCATACCAAAAAGATATACACAAGTGTAAAAGTCATACACAGTTGCGCGGCATACTTTCGCAAGGCGCATTTCGGGGGAGCCGCTTTGGAGACCCTCGAGCCTGAAGGTCAGGCACAGAAAGCGCCGACGATAGTCAGGGGATGAGAAGTGGAAGGAACCCGAGATAAACCATTCCCAACCGCTGGTTTTCTTTTGGGAATCCCCGAATGCGTTCCATAGCTCATTCCCTACTTCTCGCACTTTGTTTGTGGTTCTCTTTAAGGGAATCCCCAAAACGGTTCATTCCAGAACTCATTCCCTGCCTATCGCAGCAGCAAGTTTCCTATCAAACACCTCACCATACTCTCAGAGCAAAAAGCAGGCTTTTGCCTTGGCACTTCACCATATGTTCAACAAACACTTCTACTAGTCACAATATTGTTGTTACCATTTCTTCTTCTTCTTCTTAATGATTATTAAGATTATTATTATTGTTGTTTTTGTTATTATTACTTAGTATTATCACTATTGTCTCTTTTCTTTTCCGAGGTATGGCTGGATCCCCTCCTTCTACCAGAACGGGGGCTCCGCCTCCTGCGCGGGGAGCGCCATGGATTGCGCCACCTCCCAGGGACGGCCCCAGCAGAACGCCGCGCTCACGCCGCTCGGAGCTTGGGCAAGGCATGCCTTCCTCTCCGACCAAAGCCCGGGGGATTTCGAGAGGAATGAAAGTGGACATCAATAAATCAATACCTACAAATCCAGCAACTGGCTTTTTGGATTGGAATTAGATTGGGATTTAGATTGGATCTCTAGGTATTGACTTATTGATGTCCACTGCATTCACATTTTTTTGCGGGGTTTTGGTCTGGGCGAAGCAATCCGCCCAATCCACATCCGAATCTAAATCAAGAGGAATGAAAGCAGTGGACATCAATAAATCAATTCCTACAAATCCAGCAACTGGCTTTTTGGATTGGGTTTAGATTTGGATTTAGATTGGAGTTTGATTGGATTGGGCGGATTGCTTCGCCCAGACAAAAACCCGGGGCATGGTGAATTTCCAGAGGAATGAAAGCGGTGGACGTCAAGACGTAAAGGTCCAGCAACTGGATTGGGTTTGGATTGGATTTGGACTGAATTGGATTGGTGTAAATTGGTTTGGATTGGATTGATTCTTTTGGGCAAACAGGAAACAACTGACCGCCCAGCCGCGAATCCTGGCCGCAAATGTAAGCCGCAAATCAGCCCAGTTTGCCGAGGCAGTTCGAACACCTTTTGCTGGTTTTTGAACTGGTCCAACTGATTCTTTCTGGGGGAATCAAACAACTCAACCTGGTGGGTCATTTATGGCAAAGAGGTAGGGCAATGGTTCCTTCTTGGTTTTAGTTGGTTGAAGATGGATGGATTCCACCAGTTCCAATTTGGTTCTACACACTTTTTCTAGTGGAATCGGCACAGATACAAGTTCATCCAAGGTTTTGTTGCCCCTGGCTGCTTGTTTCGGGGCAACAGGCCCCGATAGGGCCCAGGTCTCCTGTGGGGCGATGATGTTTCTCGACCCTTGAACGGTGAACATGAATCCTGGGGAGGGGGGGGGAAATGGGGCGGGGAGGCATGGCGCCTGATTAAGGGCTTGGCTTATCCTGGGCTTATCCAGGGATTGCCCCCCCCCCCCCCCCCCCCCTAATAGCGTTGAAAGAAGTTCCCATGTAAGCGCTATCGGCCCCATAACTGAGAATCATGCCCCTGAGGCCAGTCCTGAGCGTGAAGACGCTTCACCGTCCAAACCGGTCCAGCTCGTTTTGATGTGCTGTATTGCCGTCTACCCCTGACTTGCTTTAGTTGCTTAACTTACCGTGATATTCACGAATTGTGCTAGGTGCGTTTGCTTCATTTTCCGGCAGCCGGATTAATTGAGGGGCAACTATTTGATTTGATTGCTCAATGCTCGGTGCGCTTTTATTCCATGCCACGAACTCGCAAGGTTCTAAGACTGCCGGGAGATACTAACAAGAGAACTGTTCTACCAAGGGGGGGGTCCCAATTTAGGGGACAATGATGAGCCAACAATTGGAGGCTTCACTCGAAGGATTCTCGGGAGTCTCGCTCCAAGTCTGGAGTTGTTTTTGCCATCCGAAAGTTGGTTGTCAGGGGGACAAGCGTGCAGCCATGTTGGTGGGGTACCTTGGAAAAAGCAATGCACCCTAAACATGGGCAAGAAAGATGGCGGCCTAGTGGAGGGGATTCCTCTTATGCACCTGGCACCCGATTTTGACCCTCCCCCACAGGGCCTTTGCCCCTCCCCACCCACGCCCCCCCTGCTCCTCCCGGCTGCGAAGGTTCTCCTGGACGCAATACCTGATCAGCACCTGGCAACCTGTCAGACTGGGGTCATCTTTGATCAGACCATCCAACTTGTGGGTGTTTTATGTCCTGAGTTTTGTGCCGATTTCCTGTTTCCAGTATTTTTTGCTGGGGGTTGTTCTTGGGGTTCGTTTTGACTTGCTGTTGTTGTTCCCCGGCAATGGGTTGGAATGATCCGAAGAACTGAGCCATCTAACTACTTTTCTGAGGGATCCGATATTCCGGTTCATTCCCTTGCGCTTCAAAGGATTCCGTATACCATCAAGATGGAGTAAAAGGATGCGAAGGCCAAGTTGAATCAGATCAAATCCAGTTGATTTCAAGCACTCGAATCCTGAATTTGGTGACTTGTGAACCACAGCCTTTGACCCTAGGGTCACCAGTTTGTAGCACGGGGGGGGGGGGCGGGGGGGAGGGACGTTCTGTGGGCTGAGTACGCGTTTTGCGTATCAAGCGTCGCAATCCAAACACGGGTAGAAAAGGAGTAAGGGAGAGTCCCACCATCAATGCGGATTTGCAGCCTTTTGCTCACACGTGCGCCCTTTTTGAGCAGTCCAGGTTTAACATCTCATGAGTTGGGCTGAATACGCGTTTTGCGTATCAATCGTCGCAATCCAAACACGGGTAGAAAAGGAGTAAGGGAGAGTCCCACCATCAATGCGGATTTGCAGCCTTTTGCTCACACGTGCGCCCTTTTTGAGCAGTCCAGGTTTAACATTTCATGAGTCAAAACACAATCGAAAAGTTGGTTTCCGAATGGCTGTTAGTAAAAACACGAAAACACATGAACTTGTTTTCTGGGGGCCAACATTTGGGTGCGTCTTCTTTGTTGGGACCCCCCAAAGAATGGATTTCGGTGTTCCTTTTGGTTTCCCTTTGGAAAAGCCCACCAAACAAGGGGTAATTCCCGTTCCGGCCACCAGCATCCAGGATGAAGGAGAACTGGGGCTACTGCCAGAAGGATGGCGTCCGATCGGGGCTCACCTACCCGGGGCAGGACCTACGGATCTTTCCCTGAGTTTTTTGCGGGTGAATTATGTTGACTGTTTCTGGGGTTATCAGAAACTGGGGTTGTTTCCTTCAACCCATCACTTGGGTGACTTTGATAAAGGGCAAATAATGAGGCCAGTCCTTGGTTGTAGCGGGAATCGGAAGCACCGTATTGGTCATAGACCTCATTCCCTGCCAAGTTCGAAGGGTGCTTGTGTCCTTTGGCCTTGTCTCCTTGAAGACACATTTGCATAGGGTGCTCAAGATACGAAACCGGAGCTGAACAAATATGTCGGCGCATCAGGCCACTCCTTTCGGTCCAATTCTACCGATGGGAAGCGTGGGAACGCGATCTTCTGCCTCTCTCAAATGAAGCCTTGCCAAGGGCAGAGGTAAACCTCACGGCTTGTCTTCCGATCCAAGGTGTTCGATGCTTTGCATCTTTGGATTCACCGGATTTTGCAGAGGACCAAAAATGTGTCCAGGTGCAAAGTGACATTCCCAAACCCACCTAACATGGGTGGCTTTTTTGACGCGCTGGTTTCGGAGCGGAACTATGGACCAATCTTGGACCTCAGCTGGCAGCCAGGACGATTACGAGGCAGCTATGGCGACCCGGAACCAGGGTGGTTGGTACAACTCCATGTTCTGGGAGTGCCCCTCGCCTCGAAGCACGCTTTGCTTCCATTTACTCAGGGGATGACTACTGTACTGGACCTCTTAGTTTTTCCTGGGACTTAAGCAAATGGAGGTTCGAGTTGAGTATTCGACTCTGCAAATGGTCTGGGCAAAATTTGGTGAAACCAGGCCATTGCCCTGGAGAAGCTATGTTTAAACTTGGACACCCAGCGGAGCGTTTCCTTTTTTTGCCTCTTCAGAGGAGGGAGTTCTCCTTTCAAGTCAACTACCGAACAAAAGGGGTGCCCATGGGGGCCCTGATTTTCCCATGGGCACTGGGAGGCACGAGGTGCTAACATGCAGGAAGTTGGCCCAATCCTTTGCTTCTTTAGCATCGAGGCGCAAAGGACACTGCAACATGAGAAGGGCTTCAAAATATACCCCACAGAGACCCTGAAGGGGTAAAAGGCCTTCAAAACAAAGACCGCTACATGAACATCCTTTGACCAGCGGGGGGATGGGGGCATGGGTGGAATTCAATCTTTACTAGCAAAACACCTTTTTCACGCCAAGCCAGAACTGACAAGGCCTCAACGCGAATCAATGGAAGAATTATATGGTCTTCCCGAAACATCCTTTCGGCAGGACCTTTCTTAAAACCCGGCAGAAAACAATGCCAGCGACGATCACGGTCTTTCGCTGCAACAAGGGCGTTCATGCCCATTTTACGGTATGTTCACGCTTTCCCTGGTCGATTTCCGTTGCTAAGCCCATGAGCAATGTTTCCAGAAATCCAAAAGAATCGAAGGCCTTGAGCATTGATTAGCTTCAACATTTCTGGCATGGATTCCTCGAGGCTTTGGAAAGCGCACATTTCAGCCATAAGCACTACAAGCCATGTGGCGCCTAATACGGCCAAAATAATCATAAAATAAGGCTAACCCAATTGAAGGCGTGCAGCTTGCAGACAAAGCACGTTACGCACATACCACGTCCGCTTCCTAAAGGCCTTTCCTTGTAAGGCCCCGAACCCCAGGATGAGATATACATATACATATATACACATATATATATATATATACGTATGTTTTAAAATTCGCAATGCTTGAGAACTTTGGGCCTTGGGCCATCAGGCACTAGGATTTGTATCAGACCCGGCACGTCTGGAGTGGCTGAACGGAAGTCGCCTTCGAATTCCGCTGGACCGGCGTGGTTTGGGATATGACCAACATGTTTTTTATTGCAACAGGTGCGGTATGGTACCGCGTGAAAAAACTGAAAAGCAAAGGAAAGAACAAAAACGCATCTTTGAAAGAAGACGTTGCGACAGTGTGCTTGGAGGGCTTTTTGGTTCAATATCCAAACATATCCATGACAAGCATTGTTTGCCCTGCCACCATTGCCCAAAGATATTTAGACTTGTTTTTGCCAGACTCAGCAGGTCCGAGGGGACCTGGCTGAACACCTGAACAATAGAAATCTAAAATTGTCAATCCTCGAAACTTTCAATCTCTGTTAAGCCAGTATATCCAACCACTAGACTTGTCCTCCCCAGTTCCGGGTCTCGGTTGCGGCTTATTTGAGGGTTCCCTTTTGTTGGGTTTTTGAGGGAAAACAACAGGAAAGTCCCCATTTTGACACAAACCGAACCCACCCCACCCACCCCTTGTTTGGGGGTCTGCCTGCTGCTCTAGGGTGGTTTGGAGCAGCTTTCAGGGAGTGTTCCGGAAGGGTTTCAGGGGGCTGTTGGGATATCACCTGGGCTTATTTTGTGTATTTATTTCATTTTTTTTCTGTTTAGTTTGTTTTGGGTGGCTTATTTTGCATGTTTTGTGTCTGTGCTTTTTGGCGGGGAGGGGGGAAGGTGTTTTTTTTGGTTGGTTTTTGTGGGGGGAAAGCATGTGGAGAGAAAGCCTTTTAGCGCCGAGGCGCCAATTTCATCGACCCGGAGGGCGGCAGCTGCAAGCTGCTGGTGAATCTCGTGCGAATGATTTCGCCGTTTTTGTGGAAGATGTAGGCGTGTCTTTGTTTGAGTTGGCACCTCTTTCGGAGTGGGATCTTTGAGGGAAACCAAAAGTGTTCCCCTATTTTGAGACGAACCCCTTGTTTTCCCGGCGGCGAAAAGGGGGATGCCAACACCCGGGTCCCAACCGCAAACCACTGCCTCTTGCGTAAAATCGTTGGGATTCGGGTGGCATTTTTTTTTTTTCAAAGCAGGCAGGCATTTGGGGGGGGACACCATGCGGGAGTTTCAACCTCTCCCTAGAGTTGCATCATGCGTGGACTTGCATCCCAATTTTCATTGGGTCCTCGGCCGTGCTTGTCTCATGGGTCCCGAGGGCTTCGCTGTGTGCCCAGGAATCCCAACACCTGCGTCCTGGGAGAGTTCGAGGTCTGCGAGAAGAAGTGGTCCCTGGACCGGGAATTCGGGGAGCGAATTCGGAGCTCGAGCCCGAGGGAGCCGAGTGGGGGGTCAAAATAAGCACCGTGGGGAGCACATGGAGGTGGGATACACAAAGATGCAATGAGTATATTATTATATAGAGAATGTATATATATATATATATGTATACATATATATATATATATACACGGTACAAAAGGCACCAAAACCTGGGTCGCGGGGAGGGGGGGGGGGGGGCTGCACGTATATAATACAGATACAAGAAGCCAGAAGTTCACAGTCGCTTCACGTGGAGCTGTCTCGTTACAGCTGCTTAAAAGCTTCAGCGATATTTTCCTGCAGCGAACACACCCGGAGGGTCTCTTTGTCCGTGGATCTGGAAAGACCACGAGGGAAAGCATAAAGGCTGTGGTTTGCGATTTTGTCGAGTTGGTACCAGTTTTGGGTGCGCACCAGGCTCGAGCCAAGGGCCATGGAGATGAGTTGCCACATCGGAATGACTCCCTTCCAGCACCTGCCACGCCCGCAAAACTCCCCGCCAGGAAAAAAGGGGTGCTCTCTGGCCAACCGCGAACCTCACGACTTGCGGGTATATTAATACGTAATAATTATACATGTATACATGTAGGGTGTGGCGGAAAGCAATGTTGGTTGCACGACTTACACAGCACTACCCTGGCCACAAACAAAGGAATCAGAAACAGGTTGTTCAAGCACGTGTTCAAAGGGCGACGCAGGGCGGCACCGAGATCCAAGAAGGGACTGATGGTTTGTTTGCAGTCCAGTGTCCAGTTGGGTTGGGAACGCCTTGACAATTGCATGGGGATTCACGTCCGCACGCTGTTAAAGCAGAGAGATAGCCTGTCAGGGACCCTACCCCTGTAGACCTCCCCTATTTTCCCAGTCGCTTTTGCGCCAGGAGCCCGCGTTCGAGGTGCAGTCGGAGGTCTGGGAGCCGCTGGTGGTGAAGTATCGAGCCTCGTCGAGAGCGATCCACGTGCAGGTTGCTGTGAGCTTGGACCTCGTGGTTGGTTGGTGGTTAAGCATGCATTGATTATACCTGGGGGTTGGGCTAGTACGGTTAGACCTATTTGCTCGGGGTTGGTAGGTATTGATATGGGGAAGCCAACAGATCGCCTTTTTCTGTTAGAGTGTCTTCGTCATGTGGGGCTCCAAGATGCATTCGTCGATATTTTGCTCGATTCGGGTTTAGCGATATTGTCTGAACAACCTTGAATATATGTGCCACGGATTGGAGACCCATGCGTTCTCTTGCGTCTCATGGTCATGAACCCTTGGCTTTTCAAAGGCTTCCGAAGAGAGGGACGGGCCGATAGCCCTCTTGGGGGAAGACCAATCTCCTGCAAGCCCTTCACCTGTTGGTATGGGGAGTCATCATCCCAGTGATTCCAAACATAAGGGCTCAGCTTTTTTTTTGAGGCGACTGCCGTTGAGCTCGGTGGACTCGTGAAGCGTTCTCCGAAGCTCGTTCGCGTGAACTGCAATCCGATCCGAGCGATCCGATCCGAGGTACTGAGGCCTGGATGCAGGGAGCGGTCTCCTACTCGGAACAGGAGAAGTACGTGATCCCCAAGCTTCATGAGGCAGGGCGAGCGCGCGGCAGGCGCGAGGTGAAGATGTGAAAAGACCAAAGCTGCGCTGGCCTTCCGCTACTGGAGGCTGGTTTGTGGTACAAATGGCAAGCTCGGCTTGTGTATTTTCACAGGGGCAGAAAGAAGGAGAGAGAGAGAGAGAGAGAGAGAGAGAGAGAGAGAGCGAGAGAGAGAGAGAGAGAGAGAGGGAGGGAGGGAGGAAGGGAGGGAGGGAGGGAGGGAGGGAGCGGCAAGTGACTGTCAGTCAAAGCTAGGGATTCCATACTGGTTGGTGTGGCTCCTTTCTTCTAAAAATGCCGATAACAAAGTTTTAGGGGAGAGTTGTAGCCCGAGACACTCTCCTTACACCGGCGTGCTTGCCTTTTCTGGCGCCATGCCGCAGTTCGCGTTGTGTTGGTTCGACCAGGTCCACTCGCATGATGTCAGGTGAAACAAGACAGTTTCGCCCATGTCACCCTGCATGTCTAGGTTAGTCCCGCAAAAGACCGATGCCTGCTGCACCTTTTGCGTTTTCGGCTGAACAGAGGGTAATTAACGAGTGTCTAGAGCTTTCCAGTAGCTTTTGTCGCAGCCATGGGCCTCTCTGTCGGCGAGTGTTGTGCTCTGATTTGCTCCTACTTGCTCCCTCCACTTGGCATCTGGTTCAAGTTTGGCTGTGGAATGGAGTTCCTCATCTGCCTGCTGCTGACCATCATCGGCTACTTCCCAGGAGTGGTCTATGCTTGCTGCATGATCGGGTTTGACCCAAGCGCTCACAAGCGCGGCATCGACCTTAGCGAAAGCAGTGAGGAAGCCTGACGAATTTTGTGCAGTTTGCTCGCTGGAATGTGGCTCCATCCGGGTGATGGATGATTTAATTCTCCGGCAGGCGTTTATTTTGGTACAGAACTTCGGTACAGAACTTTGCAGCCCTTGAAGCCGGGCGGCGTAATTGACACTTTTGCAGATCGAGACATTACAGACAATGTCAAGAGCGAAAGAGAGTGAGGGAGAGCCAAGTGAATGCGCGCGCGTGTGTTTGTGTGGTCTGTGTGAGTGTGTGAGTGTGTGCGTGTGTGTGTGTGACGAAGAACCGCAACTCCCTGTTGTTTTCCTAAGAGACAACATCACAAGTGCATGTGTTTTCTTCATAGAAGTGATCTTCATCACAAGGACCCCTTGGCTTGCCTTCAAGATAAAATCAAAAGGGCCTGTTTGCATAGAAGCACATTGATGTTGAATGCGTTGGCGATTTCCACCAAGTCACCACCTTTTCTCGTGTCCTGCTTTCAGGTGGACCCACAGAAGCTGTCGTGAATCCCCGGGTTGCAGTAGTCTTGAAGACTGGCGGCGGACACGAACCGCAAAACTCGGCATTGCGCCATTCATTCCAGGGATCCTCTTTCGAACCACCTCCCAACGGGAAACAGCTGGAACAAAAAGAACGGCGGAGCTGAAAAAGGGGTCACCCAGTTCTTCTTTTTGATAGATTTCGCAGGTTTCAGTTTCTGGTTGAACAGAATCCAAAAAAAGGTGTTTCTCAAACTTGGATTCGGACGCCCCTGTTGTTTGTTTTTGTGTTTCTCGAAACAAAGAAAATGAACCTTTGCTATTGTTGAGGGGACTGATTCTTTCGAGGGACCATGTTTTCATTTTTTCCAGACAAGGCAATCAGGAAGCCCTTTCTTGGTGGTGGGTTTGAACCTCTGGTTCTTGTGGGAGAATGTGGTTTCCAAATCACCCCCCCCTCCAAACCGGGCGGAAGGAGCCGCAAGCCGCCTAGTTGAATGGAAGCGGATGTTCAATGGTAATATCATGTCGTAGCTGGAGGATGGTTTCGAAATTTGGGTTACATGTCACAAGTTATGAAAGCATACATCCCCCTATTTAGAACTGTGCAAGGCCCTGCTTTCTTGGAGTGTTATAGCACAGAAGTAGAATTCGTTCCCAACGGGTTCCGACTGACTGACCAATTCCAAGTGGCCAGAGTTTCACAAGTTTCCCACTCGACCCGAGACCAACATAGGTTTTCGATTATAGATGTCCATCCTGTGGTTTCCAACATCACCTCGTTGCCAATTGTTGGATGCGTCGTGTTTTGCGGGCACCCCCCGATATGGATTTTGTTTTTTCGTGGACCAATCCCAATTTTTTGGGGGGTAACAACCTGAATTCATGAAAACAATGAACTTCACACCCATTCGAAGGTAGCTTCCCTGTGATGTTCTGCGCCTAGATAGTTGAACCTGGGTGACCTCGTGGATGTGGATCAGTCACTACGGTCCAAACCAAATTGTGGTGACCGGCAACGTGGAAGATGGAACTGGGGCATAGGTGTCTGATGTCGTGACAATAGATGGCTCTGGGTAGACCTGGTTGGTTCATGTTGGTCCATCTACCACGGCCCATTTAAGCCATTTGTTTTCCATGGCAACCAAGGAGGACACTTGTGGTTTGTGGGTGTCCACATGTGCGGCGTCAAAAGGGAACTAAACCTTCTTGATTGGTTGTGTGTTCTCGGTAGGAAATATGAAAAATAACGGTTGGAACATTCCAAGTGGAAGTATACCCTGTGAACAAGCCAGCCATGCACAGATATCGCTTCCCTCAACGGACTGTGGTTGGAATCATTCGGGCTGAGTTTGTACCCTTTTGCGGGTTCCAAGTAAAACCACACAAGGTGACCCTCCCCATATCTCGACGATCACATTAGTCGTGGCACGTGGGCATTGGACCCTTCAAGGGTGGTTTTGACAAGCAAGCATTCCTTTGAAGGGAGCCTTGACCACGACAAGAGGTGCGTGGCGATCACACGAACTTGTCGCGGGCCTTTGACTTTGTTGTTCTTTCCCACTAATAACCCCGGATTGTATAAACCGGTTCTATGGTGGGTGTTCCCTTCGAAAAGTGAGTACTAAATACCTAATAAACGGGGACACCTGGACCCGAATCAAAATCAACCAGGGGTTCTACTCCCAATTGGGTGCACTTTGTTTTTTTGTTCAGGGGGCTCAAACAAAATGGAAGAGAAGTGCTTCCAGGCCTTTGCGGAGAAGCCGCTGCTGAGAGACTACTTGGAGTTCCTGCAATCCCTCGCCAACAAGACGGGGGAGTCCGTCTTCGAGATCAACGCGCCTGAGATTCAAAGCAAGCCGACCAAACAAGATATGGGAGCCACCGTACTTTCTTGGCCTGTTGGGCGGCTCTCCCGTCTTAACCTTAAAAAAGACGGGAGAGCCGCCCCAAAAGCCAAGAAAAGAATATCATTCAAGGGAAAAGATCTCCGCCTTATGGCAGCGCCTGTAAGCGGGGCTCTTTTTTGGACCCGGACCTCCAGCGGTGCAAAGAAGATTGGCCGCAGGAAGCTTGGCTTCTTGATCGGTGTCGCAGTCTGGACACAAGCGTGCCTATGAGAAAGTGAAGCACCCGGGTGCTGTTTAAACACCCCATTCATTAGTTGTTGAATTAAACTATAGTCGTAGAGCTGGTTTCCACCAGCATCACGGAGCTGGCTTCCACTTCCACTCAACTGGAAGGAAGGCAGGATATCGCTTCCAATATGTCTTTGGGCTTCCACGTTTCTTCCTGGAGATATATTTTTCTGACGGACGGTGTCTTCCGAAGCTCCGAAGTTCCGAAGTCTCCGGACGAGAAGCTCCCTGGGAAGCTCGGGACCCCGAAATGGGGGCCGACACCCGGTCCATCTGCAGAGCGTCGGGGGTTTTCTCGCCGAGTGCTTTTCGCTTACGTGCCGAAACCGTTTCGGCGACCCGTTCCATTTCCCCCCTCCCCCGGGTCTTTTCTCATCTAACAGATCGGCCTTCTTTCGTCCGAGGGAGTGACGTCGACTCCGGAGTCGATCTTCGCAGGAAGTCAGCGGGCCGCCGTTCCCGTCCTTCACGGAGGAGCTGCTGAAGCAGACCTGCGAGGCCTACACCAACCTCCTGGTGATCGACGCCACGGTCTTGCAGGCGCCACGATTGGAGCCAGCGAATTTTTGGGCCAAGGGCGGGGTGCAGCATATGGCACTTGTTTTTTCCTTTTTCGGGGGGATGCGGCGGGGACCGGGAAGTCGGACCCTCCCCCTCTTTTTGTTGGAAGAACATGAAGAAGGTCAACAGGAAGCTCCAACCCTTCTGGATTCTGGGCAGGTCCCCTTTCCGCAAACAAAGCGGGGTTGATTCAACCACTACTCAATAGAAAGAGAAATCAAATTGCCAGTATCCCCCCGTTTCCCCTCCTGCCCATGTCATTTCGGTCTGTGTTGCGGTTGGCGCAGTGGGCAACCAAAGAAACACACAGCCATGTTGGGAGTCCAAGTAAATCCACGCACATGCTCGCACCCACACAAACACGCACCCGAGGCACACCCGCACATATATATATATATATGTATATATATATATATATATGCACCCCCCCCCCCCCATGGACCCTGGTTTTACTGCCTTTTGGGGATGGCAAATCTAGAATTTCCAAATTTGTATTCTCGAAATTTCCAATTGTGGGTCCCCAAAGCGTGATAATTTGGAGCCCGGAGTCCTCCACAATGTCCCAGTATGATACCCTTTGCACATAAGATGTTACTTCAACTAGAAATGGAATTTTGAATATAGTTTAGTATGGATATAGTTTTCAAAAATGTGTTTATGTTCAATTACAGCTTAAACAAGCAAATCCTTTCGGCTAAACTCCAACTAATCTATAACACAAGAAGTTAGATGGAAGTTGTTTCCCAAATATAATCCAAGTGGTAAGTATAATCTAAGACGAACACAACTCAATTTGCTTTTGAGAATATCAAGTGAATAGAGACTACATCTCAAATATAATTCATATTAAATATGGCTAAACATTTGGAAATTAAAAATATGATTTGTGTTGTTTACATTCTGGCCCTTTTGTAGCATAAGAAAGGTCTGACATTGAACTTGTTAGACGGTGTTCCAAAGGGAAATTTCAAGGGAAGAGAAGTTCAAAATCTAAAACTATCTCGAAACAGGGATTCTAGCTAAACCGTTGTATGTAAAGTTCTATTTGCGCAGGAAAGTTAATTCTATGTCAAAAGGTGGAGGTAGTAGATGAGCAAATGTGGACAGGTAGTTGAAGAGGGTGGGGGACGGTGTGTGAACGTACATACACATGTATATCTATATATACACATACATACACACATATATAGTACCCCCAATGATCCTGCGCCTCCTCATAAAATACTGAAAAATGCAGTATTTTTGAGCGTTGCACCTGCCTTTGTTTACCTCCTGGAAAGGGGTCAACATGAGCATAGCTGACATGAAGCTCACCAAAAGCACTTGAAAGTTTGTCTAACCAATAACTTGAAAGTGTGTCCACTGGATCGCTAAGCACTTGAACAATTGCTACTATCGGATGGAAGATTCAATATTGAAGATTACACAGAACACTTTCCTGAGAATTGTCAATCCTGGCCAAACCCAAATAGCATTAAAGTTCTTCTAACACTTGAAAGTGCTTTACCACTGGATTGGGGATCAATATTGAGGAGCCCACAAACCACCACTTTCCTGAGAATCATCCATCCTGGTCAACCCCTAAAATGTTCAAGTTGTTCTATCACCTCGAACATCCGTTACCACTGGATTGAACTATTTCACGGAAAACTTTTCCGAGAATCTTATTGAACACCGAGAGAATTGGGACAACCCTGGAATTTTTAAAACTTTTTAAACATTATGGGATTCAAGATTCAAGATTCAAGATTCCCAGAAAATGTTTTCTCAGATTCTTGAATCTTGAATCTTGAATCCATATTTTTTAATAATTTTTAAAAATTCTGGGATTCAAGATTCAAGATTCAAGATTCCCAGAAAATATTTTCTCACATTCTTGAATCTTGAATCTTGAATCCCAGAATTTTTAATATTTTTTAAAAATGTCTGAGTTGTTCTTGTATTCTTGGATGCATTCAAACTCTTTCAGATTGCAGGTGCTGATGTCATTGCTTTTATCACATCTGTATGCATGCATGCGTATCATATACATGTACGACCCTCCCCCCAATTTTGACACAAATCCAAGAAGCAAAAAGAAGCATAAAACACTGGAAAATACAGGTCAACTGCACCAAACCAGGGTCCATGGGGGGGGGGTACCATATATATATATATGGACATATACACACACATCGCCTCCTTCTTGTTGGC